CCCGAGGTCTCTCTGCATTAGGGGGCAGTGTGGGAACACGGAGCAGGCGGTGCTTTGTTTTGGTGCATCTCTCCGAGCTGCTGATGCATAGCTAACGCAGCGCCGACATTGATTTATGGTCAACTTTCCATTTCATCAGCGTGCGGGGTACAGGGCAGCACAGGGAGTTTGCACTGGGGAGAGGAGGCACGGCCGTGGCTGGGGGCTGCTGGCTGCCCCCCTGCAATTTATTTAGTGTTAAGAAGGTGTGGTATTGTTTTCTATGTCCAATTTTCCTTCCTACATTTCTCTGGCACCCTCCTTTTAAGGGATCTGCACCCCGGCATCAATCCAGCTTTCACAACAAAAGCAGGAACGCCTCCGATGACCTTTAGGAGGATGAGAAGAGGGTTTGTTTGCTCATCTAAACTGGACAAAGAGAGAGATTTCAATAAAAGCATCTACCCACGCTGGCCATCAAGCCAGCCACCTTTTGTCCGGAGCACAGCCCGATGCCGTGCTGCTGGCTGGCACCACACAATGCCCAGGCAACCCAAGGGTGCCCAGGGCCTCTCCTTTCCCATCATTTTAGGGAGGTTTTGGGAGACTGCAGGCTGCGTTTCCCTTGGCCCCAGCCTGAAGGTTGCTGCTGAGCCCCAGCATGGTGAAGGGACTCTCCCTGCAAGACTGGCTGCAGACAGGCGCTGCAGCCTGGACTCCTCCTCTCCCTTTCCTGGTGTGTCACTTCTCCAAACTCACTCCCATGAGTATTTAGGCCACCAGCTCCAAGGAATGGTCCGTATCAATTTTCCCTTTGCTTAACAGCAATGTTGTGTGGTGTTGGGGGGGGGTTCATGCACCCCCACGCTGGTAGCGCAGGGTTCCTGTAACATTAACTTCGCTGGTGACTCCCTCCTCGCCTCCCATGTGAAGCCCCACCATGCCAGGAGAGTGACAGGCCCCCCAAACCCTCTCAGAACCAGTCTGCCCATGCCTGCTACCTTCAGGGATATCCCTTGCAAGTCCTTGGTGCCTGAAGTATGGTGCAGAAGAGCAAGATGCTGAAACCCCCTGAGCCTTCCCCATCCTCCAGTCTCCTGGTACCAGTCGAGGTGGTACCACCAGGAACCTCACTCCCTCCCTCCCAGTGCTGGCACACCAAGGCTTGGGGAGAAGCCCTTTGCATCTCCTGTGACCTCTTTGGTTTTGCCCTCTTACATTCTGCACTTTAATTTCCTACAGAGATAGGAAATTACCCCCAGGCTGTGACCAGCTCCTCGCCGAGCCGCCAGCCCACCTCTGCAAGAGCTGGTGTCCAGCATCTCCTGAAGCTGGAACAAGCTCCAGCACCTGCAACAAATCAGACAGGCTTTCACGGAGGCCATGTTCAGACTGTGTTAAGAGGTGGGATTTTTCTTTTCCCCTCCATCTCCAGAGCTGGGAGGAGAAACCAGATGTTGGAGGGCTTTCAGGAAAGGCAGGCTCTTGAGATGTCACATGCGAGCCATATGCAACAGCACTCATCCTCTCTTCCCTCCCGCAGCTCCAGGGATGGTCAGCATCCCCACACAAGGCACCTGCACTGGTGCCACTACTTCTGCTGGGTTTTCAGGTCCTAAGAAAGCAGGGCTGCTTCTGAACCTCCCTTCCTGGTCCAGCTCCATGAGATGTAGGGAGCTAGAATTGTCCGTTTGCTCCTGAATAGGACCTTCAGTGCAAAAACACTATGGGAGGGCAGACAGGAAAGCACAGGGGACAGCCTGGAGGCTGTCAACGTGACGAGTCAAGACAGGACCATGCATAGCTCATCTGGGGAGATGCAACACCTCTTCCTCACCTTCCCCTCTCGGGGAAATCCAACCCATACTGTTGAAGCCTTGCCCTAACTTGGTGCAGCCCTCGCAGCTCCGTGTGGAGCAGGAGCCCCAGAGGACAGTCAGCTTCACCACGGGGCGAGATCAGGGCTTCTGGAGACACATTTGTTGGAAGCAGCAGCTTGGCACTCGAATTGCTGGCAGCAGCAGTGACCTGTGAGATAGCATCTCTGCTGCTGGCTTCACCCCGCGCTGCCGAGCGCTGCTACAAGCTTTGCCTGTTTTAGGGTTCCCGATCGATATCGGATATTCTTACTTTGTCAGAAGCATGTTCAGGAAATGGGATCTCTCTAAAAAAAAACCCCAGGCCCTCCTTCCCCCTTCCCATACACACACAAACAGCGGTATCGGGCTCAGATATCACCACAATAAATCACAAGTGCCTTATCAAGCCCGCCTGTCTACTGCCTGAGAAGTTCTCCCATACACAAATCACAAGCCCAGATAAAAAACACCCCCACCATCTTGCCAAAACAAATATTCCTTTCAACTCTCATCCCATTTGTTATGTGAACAAGTGTTTCTTCCTCAAGAAGGAAGATTTTAATGCATCCGAAAACTTACGCCACTGCAAAGCAGTGCAAAGAGATTGCAGAGCAACCCCCAAAAAACTCCACGGTTCACATCCGAAAACTCCTTTTCCGTGTGCTTCTCAAGATCCTTTCCATCAGCATCACTCCAAACATATGTTACCCCCTCCTCAGTCAGAGCTCGGCGCAGGAGAAGGAAGGAGTGAGGGGATTTGGGGGACTTTGCTAGGTATTTGCTTACAAGGTGCCTCCACGGCATGCGGGAATTTGGCTGGAGCCTGCAGCCACAGCCAGCATTTGTTAATGCTTCCAGTGATTGCATTTGGAAAAAATCAAGTGGTTAACCAGAGGAGGGGGGAAGAAGTTTCAGGGATCAAAATCCAGAATGTTTTCAATTATGCACGTCTGTTAGGACCAGAGAACAAATACAATCCCAACCCAAACACAAACCAAGCAGCTTCGGAAAAAAACACTGGCTGTAAATACACAGTAACCTCTTCGAGCACAAAAGAAATCTGCTTTAAGGCCACAGAAAGTAGAAAGCAAACGCAGAAGGGCAGCAGAACACGAGTTATTCCTAGACAGGTCGGCATGCTGCTTCCCTAGCATCCCATTGGGATAAAAACACAGGCACAACAGCGCTGACACCCAGAGCGTAAGCAAACACGTGCGTGGTGTGGACGGGAGCATCGGGAGGAGCGGGAGCCTACCTGGAAGAAGCCGGGCGGGATGGGGCCCCCGGGCATCCCGTCGTTCGGGGGAATGTTTCCAAGCACGGGACTCGGGGCGGCTGCTGCGCTCTGCAGGGAACAAAACCAGGACAAACATGGAGGGGGTGAGTTGGAGTTAAGGGGAAAAAGCACATTTAAAAGGCTGTCTCTTCCGCCACATCACACTGAGTCGATTCGGCTGCTACCTCCAGAGAACCGAGTATCGCTGCCCATGCCCTGAGCATCTTCCCTCCCAGGGGAAGCAAGCAAAGGGACACCAGGCTCTGTGATTCACCCATGGAGAAGATGGCTGCACAAAACCTGGGGATAATTCCAGGCTTATTTATTCCTTTACCCAGGCATTTAGTCTGGTTAATCCACCAAGGAGCCTCATCCAACATGTCAAGCTGTTTTCAAGCTTTTTTAGTACTTCTCTTACCCCAGCTCCCCCCACGGGCTTGCTGGATCGGTTCTGTCCTCAGAAGAAGATGCTTCCCTGACCTCACCAGTGTACCAAGGTCTTATTATGGATTTCCAAATTCATTGCACCCAGTCTGTGGGGTCACGTTCCCTTTGTGCCTCCCAAGGATGAGTGACCTGAGAGGCTCCAGCTCTGAAAAGGAGGGATGGGGAAAGACATGGCATACCCGGACACCTCGCTTGCTCCTGCTCAGCATCTCTATTTGTATTTACTTCCTTGCTGTGCTGTGGAGCTGGAGGCACTGGGAAAGCACCAGAATGATGAGAAGCTCCTACCCAGAAGGAGAATGTAAGAAAAAGATCTTCCCCTAAAGCCCTCTGCTGGCAACACATCCCTGCCGAGTTCAGAGCGGTGCCTGTGCTGCTGAAGTGCTCTTGTTTAACCATCACCATTACCCAGGGCAGGTACAAGGGAGGCTTGGTGATATTAATTGGGTTTGGATCACTGAATACTCCCTCCACAGATTTTTACGATGGACTTACCCACCTAAAACCACATGGCAGGGCTGAGGGAAATCGTCCACCATAAAAGAAATTGGGAGAAGAATTTTCCACTGAGGAAATCCCATGAACAGATGGGATACACGTGAGCCTGCTCAGGCTCGGTCCTACCCCAACGCTTGAAGCACCCTGTGCCCACCAAACCCTGTGTCCTGACAGCAGCTGAGCCAGCCCTGGCCCCATACCACATCCGATGCAGTGACAACCACAAGATGTGAGCACAGCAGAGTGTTAGGACTTGGGCAGACCGGAAAATTAAGGATGCTTATTAAGGACTAAGGCTTGCCAAGGTGGGATCCCCTCATTCGGTTGGGAATCTTGCTACTCAGGACCAGAAAGCCTTGCAGAGGGCAAGAGAGCATCAGTGCTGCCTTGTGCCTTCCCAGGGGCTATACCTTGTCCCCCCATCCATCACGCTCTCCAGCAGGAGCCAGCATACAGCATGTGGGATGAAGGCCAGGACTATGCTGGATGAGCTGACCCTTCTCCCATCCCAACATGTCAGAGCTGCAAGTGCCAGAGATGACAACACAGGCTGGTTCCCCAAAAAGAGACCCCCTTTGTGAAATAACAGGAGTCCCCATGAAGCTACAGAGTCCTGAGCCCCAAGGCACAGCCCACACCACACTCCCCCCATGTTCCTGAACCAGGCATCCCAAGCAGCCTTCCCCACATCCACAGCAAAGGCCAGATCTGAGTGTTTTTACAGTTAATAAAAAAAAGTCCTGGCAGGAAAAATAAGCCTGCCCATTCCAGGCTCCTTTTATACATCAGACGGCAGCAAAAATAGACGGGAGAGGGAGTGAACCCAGTTCTCCTCCTCCCTCCATCCCCCCAAGTGGGTCAGCTATAAAAGTAAAACCAAATCTTAATCCAAGGCCATGAACATATTGCAGTTTCTCTGCAAAGCAGATGACGGTTCTTAATGCAAAAATATATAAGACCGAGCCCCAAACTGCTGTGAGCCCATTTGGAATTTCCTTTATTAAACCCTCTATCACGCAAAACGCTTCTCTCCCAAGGCGGCGAGCGCTGCAATAAAGCTGCCAAGGTGATATTTTATGGTTTCAAGAGATTTCCAGCACACCATAATCCTTTGCTGGGGGAATCTCCCAAAGCAAAATGGATCCCCAAGCAGTGAGGAGCGAAGATGGACGTGGATTTGGGGGATCCAGGGGGAAAACACGCTGCCCTCTGCAAAAGGGAGCGGATGGAGGGAGGGCAGGCAAAGAACATCCTGAAGCAAATGCCCATTCTCCCACGAAACCACAGAGTACTTCTCTGTGTTAAACACCCCAAAACCTCACCTATGCCTTCATGGTGTAAACGGGGATTTAAAGTTCCTCACACATGTGGCGTTTGGCAGAACTCGGTAATTAAAAACCCGCAAGTGCCCTGAGCATATTGTAGGATAGGAGCCAAATTGGTCAGCCCTTGATGAATGATTTACAAGGCTGCGAAGTGACATTTTATTTCTCTTTTATTCCCCTCCCCATCCCCGCCGCTAAGGTAAACACCAAGGCACCTTTAGCCCTGTAGAAGCCCTGGGAGTGCAGCCATGGCTGGAGCAGCTCTGCAAATCCCTTGGGATGTGCCAGAAAAGAAGTGAGGGAAAAAAAGGCAGTGGGAATGCAGTTCCCAATCCCTAAGGGTGAGCACCCAAACTCCAAGGGATTTCCAGTTCCCATTTCCAGAAACCAGGACTTTGTTCCCTCCCAGCTCCCACCACCTGGCTTATTTTGACCATTCTGGTTCAGAAACTCTTCTTAGGGGCTTTGGAGATTTCAGCTGGAGTTTGCCTGCCGAGCCCCTATCTAAAAACCCAAACCTGCCCAGCACAGATACAGGCAAAGGTGGAGATGCCATGGAAGCGGGACCTTGAGCTTGTTTGGAGGTTCTACCAGGGGAGTGCAGCTACCGTATCCCTGTGACCGATGAATGGTACCGCCTGTATCGGGGAAGGTTGTCCTCTTCAACTGCACGTGGAGCGGTGAGGGAGGAAGGGGGCACCCACCCAGCCAGCCAGATCAGCCAAATCAACCTTGGTGATCAATGGGGTGCAGATGTTGCAGCCAGATCGCTCCCACATCCAAGTTTGCCAATGACACCAAGCTGTGTGG